TGGTTTTTTTACAAAAGGGAAAAATCGTTTTTTTAGAAATTTTAAGAAAAAATCAATTATTATGTTACAAATAAATATATTTAAACACTTATTAAGAAAATATTAATAAAAATCATTACAAAAGAATTATTTTGAGTGACATCTTTTACGTTTAGCTATATAATTACGTCTGGGTGTCATTTTTTTGTGAATATCATCAGTAATATCGCGTTTTAGTGACCAGCAGTAATCAGCCATCATATTCACATTCCATCGACCTTGATATCTTGTTTCCATAGTTTTTATGTCTTGGTGGAACCTTTCTCCCTGTTCTTCACTATAATCACCAAGATTATCAGGAAAAAAATCTAAATGTGAATCTAAAAAGTGAAGTTTTATACTCATATTACAGCCCAATTTCTGATACTTATCCAATAAGATTGCAACAATATTTTTATAATCAGAGTGTTTGTGATTTCCTAAAAAATTTTTGACATCTTTAAACGTCAGCTAAGCTTCTAATTCAATAGTATTCATTGTTGTATCGAATCTTTCATCAGTCATTAAAGATCTAATTTGTGGTCCATCGAATACTCCTTTTATTTTTGCATCAGATAATCTTGGGAATTTTTGACACAAGTATTGAAAACTAGCGTTCTCTTTATCCAATGCCTTAACGAATTGTTTCATCATTCCGAGTTTAATATGAAGTGGAGGTAAATTTTTTTTAGGATCAATTAAATTTTTTCGTATAACATTTTTGGTTCCAGGTTTAAGATTTTTACGAGGATTCCATTGTTTTTGTATGTAGTAATTGTCTCGTGCTCTACTATCTCACTGACACAAAAAACAAGGATATTTTTTGTATCCTGACTGTTAGCCTAACAACATAGTTATAATCTTCAGATCTTCACAAAGCTGCCAACCATATTCTTTATATCCAATTTTATCCAGTACTTTCTCAAAATTTTCAGTAAAAAATTTGTAAACAAAATAACTGTGATGGCTTATTTTCATGTGACGCGTCTCAAATGAGTATGTTGCGGTTGCAACTAATATATTCTCCCACGAGAGGTCGCACTATTCAAGGAAAGAGCGCCAAAACTCAATAATTTAATTTCTTTTTATCGTATAAAATTTTAATATTTAAAATGGGAAATAATTCGACGGTTATCCCCAGAAAACTACTCCTTTGGGCAATATCCCAACAGGAATTTAATTATAATAAAATAAAAACAGCAGAGATAGTAAATTATTTTTAACAACCAAACATTATTTTGCTTACTAACTTACAACGTTATTCTTTGACCGGTTTCGTCCTTATTAGGACCCATCAGCAAGAAATAGATATTGTATATTCCAATCTCTAATGGAATCTACAGATGCGTAAAACTAATTCGTATATTTTATTAAGTAAATTCAAAGCTCGCTTGTAGAAACCAGTTCAAAAACTAGATGTAATAGAAGCCAGTTAGTTAACTAAAAAAATAATTAACTTCTAACTAATATTATAACGAATTATTTAAACGAATTATTTAAACTAATAATTTAAACTAATAATTTAAACTAATAATTTAAACTAATAATTTAAACTAATAATTTAAACTAATTATTTAAAATCCTTATTTAGATTAATTATTTATACTAATTATTTAAAATAATTATTTAAACTAATTATCTAAACTAATTATTTAAACTAATTTTTAAAACTAATTATCTAAAATAATTATTTAAACTAATTATTTAAAATAAATATTTTAACTAATTAGTTAAACTAAATATGTATACTAAATATTCAAACTAATTATTTAAACTTATTACTTAAACCATATATTTAAACTAATTATTTAAACTAAACTAATTATTTAAATTATTTTTATTTAAATTACCGTAATCATTTAAATTAACTCTTTGGCCAACCTGCATTTTAAAAAGGAGTAACATTTTACTTAAGCATGTTTCGTTTAATCGTCTTCTTTTTAATCAATAAGTTCTCAGCCCATTCTTTATGGGACACTCTGTGTAAACCTAAAATAAACTACATACCACCAATATTTTTTGTCTTATTTTTTCAATTACTTTTCTTTGTTTCAGGTACATACATCATTTGAAGAGAAATATTAATCAATGACAATTAATACTTGACTGCTCTCACGATGCTGCTACCTGTATAGTAATCCAGGGATCTACTTGGAAAATATCATTCGAGCTTCGGGTGAAGGAGAATAAGTTTTAATTATTTTCTTTCAGATTTTTGATGTTTTTATTTTCTTTCAAGGTGTTCTTTTATTATTTTTCATCGGTTTTTCTTAATATAAACTAATTGTTTTTGAACGTTATATGGAAATGAATATACCTTTGTGAATATAAATATAAAGTATTTTTTATCCAATATATAGGTAAGGAAAAATATAATTTCATTCGGATATTATTACAGTATGAAAGGGAATAGCGATTTGTTAATTAAGTAACAAAAAATATATAAAAAGACAGTATCTATGTAGGCAATGTATTTTATACGAACATTCATTATAAGAATTGATGATTGATGGCTTGTTTCTAATTATCTATTCACGCCAAAGTGTTAGTAATTACATGTCGTTTGAATATAAAAAAAAATCTACAAGAAACTCCTATACATTTAAATTTTTTCTCTTCAATGAATAAAACAAACATTTTTTTGTCGGCGAAAGGGTAAATATGCAAAACAAATATGCAAAACATCTACAACGTAGCGAAAAGTAACCTGTTTTGTTGAAATATGTGCAAAATCAAGACCAAAAGTAGAAAAGTGTAGTTTCGCTTAGAATGTTTCTATTAAGTAAATGGTGGCGACAATTTTTTTCACGAGACCCCGGAGTAAATAAAAGACCGAATAGGGCAGAACTACTGAAATAAAAATGCTTGCAAGAGTAGTACTCTTATTAAGGAGTCATTCAAACAATTTGACAGCAGTAACACCACTTTTCACTCTTGGTTCTTATTTGATAACTATTTCAAAAAACAGGGTGTTTTCGACGACTTCGAATACTTACCATAACAACCGCACTCACAAAAAGAAGGATTGTCTTCCAATCAGCTGGAAGCAGTGGAGAGTAATGATTTAGCTTCTAGACCAGTGTAGCGTTGTAAACTGACTGCCAGTTTATTCTTGATGGTAGTGAAAATAAGTGTGTTTTATATAAAAAATTAATCTTCCTGAATTTTTACCAATTTTACATATTGATGTTTTCATGCACTTACATTTTACTCTTAAAAATATTTAGCAGCAAAATACAAAGACGTTAATAAGTCGGCAATAAAAATTGTTCTCAGTCTGTTGAGTCGAGTCGAGAGTAAGAGTTGTTGCGCTATTGGACGTGTTTTTGTGATTGCTTGAGGGACATCGCATGATATAGTAGTCTATTCTGTATCATGCAGTTGCTAGATATCAAGTGACAGACCAAAGTCAGTCGTTATGTTACCAGAATTTTCTAAAGTAAAATATGTAATAAAAGTGGTTATAAAAGTGGATTTCAAATGACTTAGAAGCAATCAAATATTCTTAGTGGTTAAGCATAACAACTAGTTTCTGAGAAAAAAATGGACCTTTGGATAATAAATATTTAAATATATCAAAAAATTAATAGGATAGCCTACTATTTATTGCTTGTAATCTGTATCTATATGGTGTTTTCCCCTACATTAGTTAGGCTTCAATAGCCCCATTGTACATCCTCCAGATGCTGCCTTTCAGATGAGATGTCTATAGGGATGACTACCTCTCAGATCATCAAAAGCATGCATCTCTGCTTGGGATAAAATTTCCTAACACATTTTGCTGTATTAGGTTTTTTTTTAATTACAAGCCAGTCCACCAAGAAAATGTATTAATTTTCAAATGGTAACACTTCACTTGACGTCCCGGTACTTCCGACTCGAAGGTTAAGTTGTTAAAAGCTGATCTACACCACACTTGCAAGTTGTATTATTTATATAGCAACCGTATAACAACTTTGACAAAAGTAGCGATTCTAATATTCACGGTTGCTATAAAGTTGTATGTGTGGTGTAAACCTGAAATATTATTTCATTCCTAAATCAAACCATTAGAGAAAATAATATATCTATTTAGTTCTGATGTCTATTATTCTATCAGTAAATATACCTTCCATTAATTTCTTGGTCTAATAAAATATTTATTATCCAGGGTCCATAATATTTATTTCTTAGCAACTAGTTGTTACGCTTAACAATCAAGAATATTTGGTTGCTTCCAAATAACTGAATCAACTTTTGTAACCACTAGTTGTTACTGATTTTACTTAGAGAATTCTGATTTTCTCAAAGTGGTAATAGAAAAACTGACCTTGATCATAGCATCTTGGTCGGTAGCATAACTGTATGATATAGCATAGACTGATTTAGCAATCGTGAATACCAGAATAGCTACTTTTGTGAAAGTTGTTATATACAGTTGCTATGAAAGTGGTAAGAAAGTTGCCAGATAACAACTATAGTTACAGAATAAACCCCATAGATGTTTTTTTACAGAACAGGAACAAAAATATTGGTATTTGTTATTGTAGATGTGTTTTAACGTTAATTTTTTACTATTTTTATGTTAGCGCAAGTGAGACGAAGCTATATGTGTGACAAAGCTGGCGTAAATATATAATTCTCTGGTATGTTTTCGTTAAGAGACATGGATAATAATTTGGCGGTAAATACTTGTAATTCAACACATAGTTTAAATGTGTTTCCTGAAATTTAAAAAAGCGTTCGATCACGTTTGCTGTTAATGTTAAGGCCTGCATTAAATATTTTTGTCTACGACTGTTTTATAAAACATTCATTATACTACTTTTACTTCCTTAAGAATAATAATACCTATTATTCACGGTATGACGTCATACAGTGAATATTAAACCATTCATTATTCAAGTATGACGTCACAGTATGTTTAAACTAGAGAATGTTATTTGTATTAATTTCTAGGATATAATATGTAACAATAAAAGACACTCTTAGGGAAGATTAAGGATTTAATGATATATCTCAAGTGTTGAAGGAAGCCTGGCCAGAAGAGGTATTTAAATATACAAAAATAGACGATACAGACGTGTCTTCGCTTAATAAAGAAGATGACATTACTGTAATTGTAGACCCGCAGAACTCAAAACTGAACAAAACGATGGAAACGCTAGAGCTGATTCCCCCTGACTTAGCCAACTTAATTAAAGAAAGTGACGACAAAGTTGATTTTATCCTAAATTCAACCATAACCGTTAATAAAAACAAGGACGAATCTGAAAAAGTCCGTGTTGTTTACACTGTACCATGGGGAACGATACACGAAGGAACAAAAAGTTTAGAAAAATTATACACACAAGTCAGAAGCTTGAAAGACGCTATGGAAATCCATCCGACCAGCAGTATACACGTGATTATTAATGGCGGTATGGAAAATGAGAATCCTAGGAAAATTTTCGAATAGGTCTTTGGTGGTAGTAGCATGGATGTTATAATGATGGGAATAATACCGAAGGAACCAACCAAGCTAACCTTCAGACCTGGACCGGAAAGGATGGTTGTTAAGTGCGGAGGTAAATAATACGCAGATATGTTAAAATACATTAAAAACAAAGTCAATGTAAACAACATGGGGATCAATATAAGAAATATTAAAAAGACTGCAGAAGGTGATCTGATGTTCAAGCTTAAAGGTGGTAAAAATGAAGCAAAAATCCTTAAAGACGAGATTCAAAAAAATGAATGCGATCGAAATAAGAGTGCACAAGCAAGAAAAATTGATAAATTATAACGACCTAAACGCGATTACGCAAGTCGATGAAATTCTGGAATCAATAGCGAGAGTAGTAGGCTTTGAAAACAAAAAAGTTGTAACGGTAAAGTCACTTAGACCGAACAGAAACGGATGACAAGCTGCCACGGTAACTGCACAAGGAAAGAATCTCACAAAGAGAATTACACGGGATGGCAGGATAAAAATAGGCTGGATAAACTGCCGCCTAAGAGAACGTTTTTCCTTTATGAGGTGCTATAGATGTCTAGAATATGGACATCACATGAAAGAGTGCAAGAGCGAAGATAAGGCGAATATGCGTAGAAACTGCGGTAAAGAGTCTCACAAGGCAATTGATTGCAAAGAAAATCTTTATTGTTTGACATGTAAGATAGAAGGCCACAGAAACGAATAAATAAAATGTCCTGCATTTAGGGCGTTAATTGAGGAAAAATCTGCAGGAGTATATAAGAGGAGAGGGCCTATCGCTAAACCTAACTAAAGTTCAGAAATGGATGACGCGGTCACTTTAAAGGCGCTGCAGGTAGATCTCGGAAGGGCACGAGCTGCACATGATCTAACGTTTGCTACCTCAGACAAGGAAAACATCGACTTAATTCTAATTAGCGAACACGACAAGAACATTCTTAAAAAAGCTGCATGGATCGGATTTAAAAGGGAGGATTTAGGAGTTTTTTGTCGCAACAAAAACATAGGAGTTGCAGGTTTTATCAAACTTAATGAAGCTGTGTGTTTACGTTTAAAAAAATTCGATATATACTGCTGTTATATTTCTCCCAATATTACCAGTGACACATATAAGAAAGATATTGATATCATCATGGGACGCATCATGGCTCAACTTAGGAAGACTATTATATTGGGAGATTTTAATGCAAAATATGCATTAAACTGAAGAAGTGCGGAGAGCATACATAGCAGAATGGATTGCCACTCTAGATCTTGCAGTCATAGAGGAAATATATCTACTTTTGTAAGGGAGGAGAGCAAAACTTTTATTGATGTGACCATGGCTACCAGTAAAATTACAAAACAAGTCAAGAACTGGCGGACCTCGCCTAAAGAATCCCTAAGCCTCTATAGATATATAATCTTTGATATTATGACATCCAAACAAATCAAAATTCAGAAAAATAGAAGTGGCAAAAAGATATTAGATAAGTCCAAACTGATAGAGACACTTCAAGTTAAACTACATGAGCACACCGTACTGGACATAAATGCAATTACCCGCATACTCAAGAATAACCAAGCAACCTGTGAGTTAAGGCATAGAAATAACGACAGATGCCCTACTGGTCGAACAGTGACATAGAGTTCAAAAGATTAAGCTCAAGAAACGACTGATAAATACCTGAAAAAGGGAAATGTGGAGAGATCTCTGTAATTAATTTAAACAGGATATTTAGGGACAAGGGTACAAGCTGGTTATGAGACATTTAAAAGCGGTGCCTTACAACATAAGTAAAGAAAGGAAAATGGAAATAATATCAGAGCTTTTTCCAAATAAAATAGATATATGGGACAGAAACTACGTAATCCAGGAAGTTACTCATTTCTCACTTGATGAATTGACAACTGCAAGTAACAGCCTGAAAGCTGGAAAAGCCGCAGGTATAGACGATATTCGACCAGAGACCAATAAAGAAGCAGTAAAAGCTGCCCCTCATGTAATGCTTAAGTTAATGGGTGGAATGAATAAAACTAACATATCTTAGGTAGTATTTTCTAACTAGTTTTAGCTCATTCTCAATTTTGTATGAATAACAATTTGCTAAAAGTAGTTAGTTTATACTAGGGTTTACCAGTGGTAAGTTGGTATATTCTAACCGTTCAGAATAAACTAAGCCCTAATAAATACTTAGATGCCGCGCTTTCAAGTCTCAACACGAAATTAGGGTACCAATTTGTTGCTTGTCTAGCTTACTTCTGATTTATCTGTCTGCAAGTCAGGACGTATAGTTTAATTTTTGCAAGTGAGGAGTAAGCACGTGTAGTTGACATAATGTCTGATAAAGAGTTTGATGAACAAGTTGATGAGGTGGGCAAAACCGTTGATAGGGCGTTATTGGTGAAATTAGTGAACAAATATCCAGTTGTGTTAGACAAATCCTAATTACCCTCTTGATGGAATCGAAAACTAAAGCCTTAACTTTATTAACTGAAGAATTTTGTAAAGTAACAGAAAAGGTTATAACTGTAACGCAGGTGAAAAAACTCCTAAATAATATGAAAACTGCTTTAAAAAGGAAAACTGATTTGAAAACTACGGGGAACAAAGTGATAAAACTTAAAGACTGGGAAAAGGACTTATTAACCATCATGAATAAAGAAGAAAATCCGATATTCAGCAAAGTGCCCGGTGCCTTGTCGGTTGGTGTAAAGAGACAATCGGAGATGGAAGCAGAAAAGAGCCAAAGTAATCCTACAACTCACACTGACGATAAATTGGAAAGTACAGCTTCAAAAGATAAAGTTAAAATTCGAAAAACAAAGGACATATCAACAGATATGAGACTGAAGAAACAAAGAATTTGTCTGTGCCAGAACTTCAACGTCTAGTTCTTCTCCAGCAATTCCAACTAAACACTGCAGAAGAGAGAAGAGTTTACGCCTGCCGCAAATCAAGAGAGCGTAATTCCCAGATGTGATCGAATTTATGCTTTTTCGCTGGGCAAGATTAAAGAACGGTAAGCCCGAGTGGGCGATACCACCACTACAGCCGACTGGTTACAATTTAAAAATAAAAAAAAACATCCTTCTAGTACCTTGACAAATAAAAGTAGATAATTGATACGAAATCGACTCTACAAAATGCTCATTCGGATTTCGGCAAATTTAAACAATAGTAAAATATACTAAACATTTTTCTTTCCTCTTTTCGTAGTTGTTTATTCTACAATTTAATACAATGATGAATTTTTTTAAATTACAAATTTTAGTAAATGTTTTTACAAAACGTATATTTCCATAAGTCTACTAGGTCAACATTGTCGTAAAAGTTTCTTGTCACATTTTTTCCGTGAATGCGCAAATTAGATTTCAAAATTCATCTTCAAATAATGTTTCGTAAATAAAATAGTACCCAATTTTGTGCCTTCACCTATTTACCTAGACTATGACTTTTCCTATATACTTTAATATACTTTAGAATGAGGCAAGCTTTGCATCTAAAGCGACGTGTAATTTCATGCATCATTTACAGGCTCAAATATCCGTAATTCTCTAACTAGATATAACTGGCATTATAAATATCGTCAAAAATGTAATGCAATGTCTGTGTAAATATAATGCTCTTTTTATTACTTTTTGTTTAAAAAAAGTGCTTAGTGTTTATAGCCCAAAATTGTATTTAAATGTGTAGCTGTATATGGTAAGTGTTCTCAGATCTTTGAACTTTGTTTTATCCTTAAAGCCTGTTAGAACAGTTTCTCGCGAACATTTATTATAACGATTCTAAAATTAATTATTACTTTCCCTCTAAACTAAAGAGAATATTTCCTGAGTTGTTCAATGTAATATTTAAAGTTTAAAGCTAATTTCTAGAGTTATTAGAACTAAATGTCTGCTTTTGCAACAATCTAACTATTGATTGGGATTATTTGGCGATCAAAAGATAAACATTATTTCATTTATCAAAAAATGCGTGATCAGTGACTCCTGATAGAAAAGCTTTTAATTAGTTAATTATCTATCTTACAATTTAATGTAAACCAGTTTATAATAGCCCACCTCCGTTAGATTATATTTAGTCTCTCTTACATCAGCCATTTTAAATTCAGCACCTCGGGGTTAAGGTATGTTCCCTCACATTTTTCAGAGAAAAAAGTTTTCTTCACTTGTGGATTCACTATACCAAATTCTATCTAGTATCGCAGCATAGCAAGTATTGCAAATTTGTAGTTAATAATAAATCACATCAAAGTCAAAATTTTAGGACAAAGTAAAAAATCTAACAAAAATGAGAAATAAATTGACCAAACAATTGAACAATTGACTTTTGCAAAGACCCCAATATGTATTAAATTCACCGTTTCTTTACAATAAATGAATTTTAAAATGCCTCTCCTGACAAATGTAGATTTGGTGACAACACACCTTATCTTTGATGTGCTGAATTGTTGTGTATATCCTTTGATTATTAACTAGATTATTATGTCTAGTTTAATATTTTCTAGTAGACTCCATAGAATGAGAGGTAGCTCTTCGGTGTGGATATCTGGACCATTTAGGCCAATTTCACTGTCTCTAGTTTAACAGTTGATACTATTCTATCACGCTGAAAATTATTTTTTACGTATTTTGTATTTTGTTTGTAACATTTTTGTAGTTTAATCGAATTACATTTTTGCTACGAGAAGAGAACAAAGATATATTTTCAATAGTATTTCAAAAACATACTGAAAAGGCCTTTTCCACCAGCTTTTTTACAATCATTGGTAAATTTAATATTTTTAAAGCAAATCTTCTATTATTAGATCTACAAATAATTTACTGTAGATTCGTTTTTGGTCATTGTTATTGTTGCTCCTATGACGCCAATCATAATCTACAAAATCAATTTACTTGTGAAATGAAGTATCTGCACATAAATAGTCAGTGCTAATGATTTTTTTTGAATTTAGTACAAGGGAATGTTTGGTAGATATATCTGCCATATTAGTAAGGTCTGCATTGATCATTTGTATTGCATTATTAAACTTATGATGTGGAAAAGTTAAGTACAATTGAGTATTATCGGCATACATATGTGTACAGCAATTAGACAAACTTAGTATATAGTGTATATATACTGTAACTAGTAGATGCCCTAAAACTGATTCTTGGGACTCCAGAGGATACATTTCGGGGTGAAGATAATTTATCACCCAGTTTGATACTTTGTATTCGTTTTTATATTCGTTTTTATACTACTGATCAAATGGATCATTATTAATATTCTGGGGGACACTGTTAACAAAGAAATCTTTGATAACATTAGGATCCTGAAACAAAGATGATATATGATTCCGTTTATTATTAATTATGTCTAGTGATTTTAATTATTTTCATAACTCTTTACCACTTTTATTTTTAGATGTGTTATTAAAATAATTGTATGGTTAGTAATGTTCCTTAGATTTTTATATTGTTTTCAGGTATGTGGTGTACAATTTTTCTTAAATTTAGCTTTAGCCCTATCCCTTTTCCCCATTAGCCTCTGGATGTCTAATGTAAACCAAGGATCTTTCTTTTTTGTTATTCTTGAAGTTTTAAATGGTATATGTTTGTCAAAAAGATTTAGCATTCTGTTATTAAATTTTTATATTTTACTGTTAATTTGGTGAATATAATAAAATTGATTTAAATTTTCCTGCAAGAGGTCGGTGTAAAACATTTTGGGATTAAAATTTTTAAAATCTCTATAAGAAACAAATTTGGGTTTAAGTTTTGGTTTTCCAAATTTAATTTTATATCCTATGCATTCATGAAATGAGAAATTTGATTCCGCAACAAAAGTATAAATAGTCGACAATATCCTTATTACTACATAATAATACATCAAAAAGAGAGTCTGACTGAGGGGTTATATGTGTGGCATCAGTGATCATTTTAAACATTCCCACCGAAGAAAGCATGGACTGAAAATAGCGAGTCGAAGGTGTATATTCATGTAAAAAATTAATATCATCCCCATACATATCACATTATACATTTATGACATAGTAATAGTTAAACATGTTTCGAGACTATCAATAAAAAATTTGTAATTAACATCTGGAGCTTTATAAACAACACCAAACACAAAAGCAAATCCGTTAAATGACAATTTTAAAAATAGTTGTTTGATATCATCATCTAAATCTAATAGTTGATAATTAAAATCGCTTTTGATATAAACTCGTACCTCACCACCACGTTTACCTCCACTTCTATATTTTCTTGCAAGATCAAATCTATCAATTCCTAAACTATTAGATTGAATACATTTAGATAACACACTTTCAGTTATTTCTAAAATATCAAATCTTTTAATACTAATATAAGTTCTTTAATTTTTGAATTTTTGAAACAAGTGACTAAATATTTAGGTGACCCATTAAAACTAAAATTTACACAATTATTATTTAGGATTATTTAATTACTTGATGTCACTGCTAATATCTCACTTCTCTTGACCCTTTCTTCGCTGAATTTGTTTCTTTCTCCAACCGAAATACAGTAAACTAGATGGTTTTATCCATACTTTTATAAAAGTATGCATGTTGTCTTTAAATAATTTATCATTCTTATATTTGATATGTCGCTCCATTTGAATCATACGAACAAATTTAGCATTCAATTCCATTTCCAGTGGCATAGATTGAGTGCCATTGATCAAGTAGTCGATTAATAAGAAGCCGGCTTATCGTATGAAATAAATCCGCGAATACACTATCGAAATTTAAAACGAAGTCTCTGTATCGGTGCCCAGCTAATGCATACAAAATAGGCAGCCAACATGCATATAGAGATTTTCCTCAATGCTTTCGCGGTGTAAATTTGCAGTCAAAGTTTTCCTCAATTTCTGTAATGGAAATTCTATTTATATTATAACATACGTAAGTATATCTTTTGGATTGGATGGTGTTTATAGTATCTATTTCCATAGAATGAAACAAAAACAAAAGCTTGGAATATTATTGAGTCGTTAACTCTGTTAAACATTCTGTTGTGGGTATATTAGAAAGAGATTTAAAGTTGATATAGATGATTTACATCCATTAAATACATCTTTAATAAACCAAAACATATCTGAACTATAATACAGTTGATTAAGATTGATTCTAGTAATCACCTTCTTTGCTTGTTTTGATTCACTAAATAATAGAACTGATGCTTCAATTCAAAGTTTATATATATTAATTTAACATGATTTACTAAACAATATCGTTTACATGTAACAATGAATATCATATAAAGAATATTAATTAATAATACTAAGTTTCACAAGTTGCAAAGTAGCAGCTTGCTCAGAAAATCATTTACTTGGTAACTCCATTGTATGAGATACCAAGATTAGAAGTTGCATATTAGCGCGGCATAACTGCTTCGACTTTTAGAAAATTTGATTCACATCTTAGGTTGCAGCGAGAAGAACAAATTGTCAGCAAGTCGGTGGTATAACATAAAGTGACGATCAGCATCGGTCAGCGAACCAGCTTGTGTAAGATGAATTAATAGAGCTATCTGCCTGGTTAATTGGCTATCCATTTCTATTTAGGTGACATCCCTAACAATGGTCTATCAAACTTTCTAAGAGCTTTGTCATGTGACATTTGGAGTGCTGCATAATATTATGTCAGACCTAGTTACTGCATTTAAATTTAAATTGTTTCGTTCGTTTATACGTGCGGGAGAGGTAATAATATTGCATTTTAATGATCTAGAAGCTTTTAATTAATTCGCAAGATAAAGGTTTTTTAGTTATTACACATTTTTGAATATTTGGATCATTAATTAAATTATTAGTGATTGAATGGATTAATTATTATTGTTTAATTAATAATTGATTAGTCCATTTGGCACTCAAGGCTGGGTTA